CCAGTGTCGGGGGCTGTGCTCCCACCACGGAGAGTGGCCATTCAGTGGGGCCACTGGTGGCAGAGGCCAGGCGAGGAAGAGGAGAGCATGGGACCCGCCCCTTTAGAGCCCACGCCCAGGGCACACTAGGTGCTAGCGGAGGATACGCTGTGGGAGTTACGTTTTTGAAAGGCTTAATTTTATTTTTAGAGAAATTTTAGGTTTATGGAGAAATGGAGAGGAAGGTGCAGAGATTTCCCATATGCCCCTCTTCCCGCTCCCACTCAGAGCCTCCCCCATTATCAGCATCCCTGTCCAGAGCGTGTATTTTTGTTATAACGGATGAACCTACATCGGCACATCATAACAACCCACAGACCTTAGTTTAGCCCAAGATTCGCTCTGGGTGTGGTGCATTCTATGAATCTGGACACATTATAATGACATTTGTCCATCATTACAGTGTCACACAGGAGTTTCCCTGCCCTCAAAGTGGAGGTGACCCATTTTCAATATTTAACCAGGGGCAGCTTGAGCCATGGCAAGTTGGGCACAGGAAGAGGATTTAATTCCATGTGGTCGTCACAGATGGGTGAGGAATTGACCTTTGAGTTAAAAAAGAAAAACAAGCCCAGTGGCTCAGTGGTTGAGAGTTGACCTATGAACCCTGCGTCACAGTTCGATTCCTCATCAGGGCATATGCCCAGGTTGCGGCTCAATCCCTGGTGTGGGATGTGCAGGAGGCAGCCGATCAATGATCCTCTCTCATTACTGATGTTTCTCTCTCTCCTTCTCCCTTCCTCTCTGAAAAAAATATGAAAGATATATTTTAAAAAATATATCAGCCAGCCAATTCTATTGCCATTGTGTGCATTGTGTCTCCCTTCCCCACCTTTTTCAAACTCCCCCACCACCTTACTGATCCTCACGGTGCACCTTCGAGCGGGTCACTTCCCCGGCTCGGAGAGGAAGGGACTGAGGCTCTGAGAGTCCAGAGCTTCCCCAGGTCACACGGACAGAAAACGCTGGGTCCCCACCGGGTGCCCAGGTCCTTCCGTTCCATTTTGGGCGCCACAGAAGCAGCGGGACCCCTCCCTGGAGGGTATGTAGGTTCAGGTATGAATTCCTCGGCGTTGGCACAATCAGCCCATCCTTCAGCCAGTGAGAGAGGGACAGTGAGAGAATGACAGGTTGCCCGAGAGCTCGGGTCAGGGGGACAGGACTGTGCGAGGTCGTCTCTACAGCGGCTTCTAACGCGGGGTTTTGTGCCCCTCCAGGCTGTCACTGGTGTTGGGATCGCTTCTTTATCACAGAACAGGCCACACTAGCCATAAATATGGCTCTAAGGTCACACTTGCTCTGGTCATGAAGTTTTCTGCGTGAAAGGAAGCAGCCCAGGTTCAGAGTCCACAGCAAGTCCAGGCAGGTTCTCCCTCCCGCCAAAGGGGCTAGAGGTCACACTCATGCTCCCGCCCTCCCCGGGGGCCTGGCCTCTAAGAGATGCTGGCCTTGTCCCAACAACCCTTTCCCTGGGAAGCCGAAGGTGTGACCACTTGTTAGTGCTGGGCTTGTCCAGGTGTGTGGCAGGATGGAGTGATGGGATCCTTCTGTGAGAGCCTCCTGGGTGGGGCCACTTGGTCCTGATGGGAGTTGGTAGGGGAGGGGGCTTCCTGCCTGGGTTCCTGGGGCCAGATCTCTGGGGGTGAAAGTGGGAATGGCTCTGTGGCTCATGCTCTACCTGGGCTCCAGCTCTGCAGAGGGAGGTAGTGGCAGAGCTGAGGGGAGAGGATGGGAATCCATGGCCTCAGGGATCACTGTGCTCTTTGTTCTCTTCCCAAGTGCAGCCTGGAAACTTCTATCTCCACCCCCACCCCAGCCCTTAACTCCAGACTCACAATTCCAACTGCTACTCAACAGGTCCACCTGGATGTCTGACTGGTCACCTCAACACCCCACCTGAGCATCAAATCCTTAATTCCCCTCCCAAACCTGCTCCTCCTCCCCTCATCTCCTCCATCCGGGCTGCCCATCACCCAATCACAGGGGCTGTGAGCCCTGGAGGTGCTGTCAGAAAGAGCCTGGAGGACTGGGGATTCAATCCTGCTGCTGCCTCTCACTAGCTGTGCTTTGCTAAGAGGGGGAAGAGGGAGCGTAGGATGTGCCCAGACCTCACAGAACATGTCCTCCAGCTCTTACATGGGCTACAGACCTCGAGCATCTCTTGCCCGAGGGCTCTCTGGGGCCTTAGGAGACCTGTCATGGTCCCGGGTTGGCCCAGACTTTCCCTGACAGCACACAGGGCATCAGGAGCTGCCTTTAGGGTAGATCTTTGAGGTGAAGGATCCTAAAGGGATAGAGGTGGCCAGAACCCCAGAGGTTCTCCAACATCCCTCCTTCTGCACATGGGGAAACTCAGGCCAGAGAGGAAGTACCCTGTTCAAAGCCTCTGAGTGGATTAAATGCAGATGCGAGATTTGTTCTCAAACATCCTGACTCCCAGCCAACAATACGCTGAGAGCTCCTCTTTGAATTATTCAGGGTAACTCTTGCCTCTGCCTTGTCACCCCCACCCCAAGCAGACCTCCAGAAAGGAGAAGGAGCCCCCCAGAGAAGGCCTTACCTGCGGGCTGCGGGCCTTGCCGTATCTCAGATCGGTGACAAAGTGCTCACAGTTCCTGTTCAGAACACTGTATGCCAACTCCTTACCGACCATCTCCTCCGCAGAACTGATAATCTTGTTCGCGGGCAGGGGTGAGTACTCGTGGTCCAAGTGGTTGTTGACCCGATAGCGGCAGCCCCCCACCACGTCACCCAGGAGCTCCCTTTTCACCTTCCCTCTGCTGCTCAGCACGGAGAAGAGGCTGGTGGAGCTCCGCACATCTGTGACGACCACATGGAATTAAATCATCTTCCCGTGCCCAACTTGCCATGGCTCAAGCTGCCCCTCATTGAATACTGAAATGAGGTGCCTCCACTTTGAGGGCAGTGAGACTCCTGTGTGACACTGTAATGATGGATACGTGTCAACATAATGTGTCCAGATCCATAGAATGCACCACACCCAGAGCGAATCTTTGGCTATACTTAAGTCTGTGGGTTGTTATGAAGTGCTAATGTCATGTCATCCGTTATAACAAAAATACACGCTCTGGACAGGGATGCTGATAATGGGGGAGGCTCTCTGGGAGTGGGGGGTGGAGCATATGGGAAATCTTTGTACCTTCCTCCCCATTTCTCTATAAACCTAAAATTTCTCTAAAAATAAAATTAAGTCTTTTAAAAAAATTAACCTCCTCAGCGTATACCTCCGCTAGTACCTAGTGTGACCTGGGAGTGGTCTCTAAAGGGGCGGGTCCCAGGGTCTCCTCTTCCTCGCCTGGCCTCTGCCACCAGTGGCCCCAGTGAATGGCCACTCTCCGTTGTGGCAGCACAGCCCCTGACACTTTGACTGGAGACCTGGGGCGCCCCCTCCCCTGGGCTGCGCCTTCCCAGGAGGAGAAAGCTGGGGGCCCAATCCCCTCGGTGCACAGACTCCAGGCGGGGACGAAGATCCCCCGATAGCAGTGGGAGACGGGGAATCCGGGGACTCGGGTCTAATGGGAGAAGTGAGCTCCGGGCTCTAATTCTCGGCAGGAAATCTCCCCTGGGTCCC